ACCTCCGTCCAGGCTCGGACAGTCTCGTTCACGAGCTATTTCGCCGACGACGCGTGCTCCGGGACGCCCCAGTTCATCTACGAGGAAGACGTGGAGAGTTGCCAGTTCTCTGACTGCACCACGCTATCGGTCGACGAGGACGCGAATTCGACCCGCGTGGACTGCTACGGCAACGACCGGGCCGAGACCGCCGCGCTCTTCGCTGATGCTGACGCGCCTTACGTTCTACTGGAGCAATACACGCCAGCCAATACATGCGACACCTTCTCCAACGGCCAAGCGTTCTACGCAGACGGACTGTGCAGAGCTCTACCGAACACCTCGACGTATGGAAGTGCCCTAGCTTCTGTCAACAGGGACTTGTCTGTAAAGTTGCAATTATTTAGTGACACCGCGTGTACCAAGATGGAGAGCAATTACTGGCGACGTAGAGTGGACGTGTTTTGTGGGGTATACGAGTGATTATGGACTGGTATTCTATACTTCAGCGTCGGAGACATTCAGTAGTACGAGCGGAAACGGTAGTACGACAGGCTCGGACTTTACTATTGTCAATGTGGGCGGTAGTAATAGTAGTAGCGGCAGTGAAGCAGCTACTTCGGCGCCTGTAACGACCTCTGACGACGGATCTAGCTCTTCCGTAGGAGCGGGAGTAATCGCTGGTATTGTAGTCGGATGTATCGTTGTGTTGGCTTTAATTGTGGGTATTATTTGGTGGAGAAAGCGACGAAAACACTCAAGTGAAGGAGCTGAGAGAGGGAATAAGGACGCGTATGGGGAAGTATTACTCGGTCAGGATTCTCAAGGTAGAACAGTGTCTTCACAACCAGGCGCAAGTTCGGATTTCAATACTGAAGGTCTATGGACTGATGAAGCCATTATAGCGGCCAGGATCCCACGAGAGAAGGTTATATTACAGCAACGAATCAGTCGAGGAGGATACGGAGAGGTGTATGTGGGAACGTTCAATGACCAACGTGTGGCAATCAAGATGCTACTCCCTGAAACTCGAAAGAGGATTCAGAGTGTGAACGAGTTTCTGGCCGAAGTGAAGCTCATGGCGTCCCTGGAACATCCGCGTATTGTTGAGTTTATTGGTGTGGCGTGGGATTCACTCACGGACTTATGCGTGGTATCAGAGTTTATGGAGGGTGGAGACGTAAGAGCGCTCTTGAATCGGTACCAAAATGAGCGAAATATTGGGTTTGACTACACTAAAGTGAAGATCGCACTGCATGTGGCACATGCATTAACGTACATGCACTCGTTCGATCCTCCGCTAATTCATCGAGATTTGAAATCCAAGAATATTTTACTTACCGAAGACTACGATGCAAAATTGACGGACTTTGGAGCTTCTCGTGCACGTGTGGATCGTACCATGACAGCCGGCATCGGCACGTCTCTGTGGATGGCACCGGAGATGATGACAGGCGAGAAATACGATGAAAAAGCTGACATCTTCTCGTTTGGAGTGGTCTTGTCGGAGCTGGACTCGAATGCATTGCCCTATGCTAATACTGGCAAGAACCGACAGCCTTCCGATTTGGCAATTCTACAGCTTGTGATGCAAGGAAAATTACGTGTGAGTTTCTCAGAAACGTGTCCGCCTGCTATATTGGAGCTAGGTATGGCATGTGTAGCTGTTGATCCGACTGCTCGTCCAACTGCAGCAGAGGCACTCTACAGGCTCCAGGTAGCTCTTGCCGAACAACAATAATTGGATTTGATTACCAGTATAATTGAATATATTGTGTATTCACCAACACAGGATAAAGAAATATATTCATTCTCTTATCCTGTACTAGGACCGATGTATTTTTCATAGGCCGCAACGTATTGTTTGTAAAGAAATTGACTCACATCGTCCGCCATAGTTCCCTCTACACCCAGGAGAGAATGAACCTTTGCTGGTTTCATCCTTCTCGTCAACCACAGGGAAACCTGCCAGCTCTGCAACTTGGTCGCCACTATTTCGGTACTAGGGGTTTTCATCGCCGCCACCAGCATGCTCGCGAGTTGTTTGTCACCGCCGTAGACTTGGGTCAACTCCACGATAGGATCCCACTTCGTTTTCAAGTTCATTCTGTTGAAATAGAGTCCGTAGTTGCACCAAACACGGAAAAGCGGATTCTCAATCATCTTGGCCCTTGTTCTCTTAAGATTCAGCATGATGAAGACGTCATTTGGGGATTGCTTAGCAAGAAGCCAATCTCGTTGCAGCTCGGATTCCAACCGCTTGGCGATGTTTGCCGTACTTGGAGCCTCATATCCCGCCATGATCATCCTCGCCAATGCCTCGTCACTGTAGTGACTCATCAACGTGGACATCGTCGCCAATTTCGTCTTGTAGAGCAATC